CAATACGGTGCAAATTCAGTGTCCTGTTGTGAGCAGGAGGCTGGGGGAGAGACCTCCTGGGCTTCTTGCAGCCTGGGTGAGGCTCTGAGGCAGAGTGGGATCCTGCCATGATAAGCAGGAAGCTTATATTTACCTACAGTATGGAGACGTAAAGACTGATATCCTCACTCTTGCTAAATGCACAGACGCTAAGAATAAAGCTTTGCTTCTCACAGCAGGGAGCGACCTGCGAAGATGGCAGCGCAAACTGCCTGAAGGAACAGTTTGCCCCCCCGCAAAGTTTCCTCTGCATTGCACTATGTCGGCTGAAAGGCAACTGTCCTTTAGTGCCATCTCCTGGGAAAAAATCAGATTTCCAGCCTTGTCTGGTTGTTCTGCCTCGTCTCCTGCAGGGATTTCCAGCCCTCCCCTAGCCTGGCCTCCTGGTTTGTCCAGGCTCATCTTCAGGGTGTTGGGTCCCCGCAGTGTACTGTGTGTCTCTGTGTACCAGTGTTTTCTACCCAGCTGAATCCGGAGCCTCCTGTATGCAAGTGTTTCAAATATAAAGCCATAGGAACATTGTTCTTGTGTTGTTTTAATTTTTCCTTCAACATCTAAAAATGCATTACACTTTACCCTGAGGTTCCTGCTGTGCACGTAAAAACATGCTTTGCTGGAAGGAGCACACAGCATCTTCTTGTTTCTGAATCTCATCCTGGAGAGAGATCACAACTGCTTAAGACAGGTTGTGTAATTTCAAATGCAGGGGGAACAGAGGTCAGCAGACTGGAATGACCTCCCCCAGAAGCTGCCTTTGACCCCAGCTCCAGCATGCCGCATGCACTTGCCTCCTCATGCTTTCTGTATTCCCCTGTTTCTGCTGCCCATAAAGGAATCCTTGCTCCTTCCTTTCCTGGGACACTAAGCTAGCATCAAATTGTTTTTTCACTTGTGTCTGAATTATGATGGGGACCTTCCTGTCCTTGGTGAATCCCATTCTCCCCTGTGATGGACACTAAACCGTAGCTGCAGAAGCATGTTAGTCCTTGTGCTGCAGAATAAACATACTGCTCCCCAGTAAAGCCCACCCTTTAGTCCTTACCTGCTCCCCCAGATGACATGCAGGTCTACCCTGACTACTCAGACTCGTAAAACTGCCTGATGAGTATTATATACACCTGGAGAATCGCATTTACAGAACATGGGAAGAACCTGTAATGTCATTAGCCTGTGTTAATTAATACTGGGCCAAACATTTACCTGGAACTACCACTTCTATATTGTCCTGGTGAATTTAGAAAGACTAAGTTTAGTATTTGACTGCAAAAGAAAGACAATTTTCAATTAATCTTTGTATATGACTGGACAGTGAATGAAGTAGCCTACCAACCTGCTTGCCTTTTATGTATTTATGATTCTTTGTGTAGGAAAAGCCTCACAAAAAAAGATCCCTTTATCTCATTGCTCTGGCTCCATTAAAAGGCATCTATCATTAACGACTCTATTTTTAATTCTATCATCACCAATTATTTGCCTGAGATTTTTCCGTACATGAATTTCACTGAGCTCATTTCTAGTGTGTGACTCACTGAACTCTGATTTCCTTGAAGATTTTAAGAGGAAACAGCAATGCTTTTATCTTCCCCTCCTCTCTATGAAGAAATCTTTTCAATTTACTGTTTGTTCTAAGTTTGGAAGTAGGATATAATTTGTGTGTGTAATATAGTTTTTAGCATATCTTGTTGAAATCAGCATAGGATGACTGTGTACTCAGCTGTGCCATCCCCTTATCCCTGCCTTTTGCTGTATTATCAGGGAGTCACTGGAAAAATAACTGGCATATCCCTGGTGTGGGCATTAAACCTGTATCTTCACTAAAACAAGCTCAGCCTAAATCTAGCTCCATCCTAACACCCTGTCACCTAATCTAGGCCAGCATTTAGCTGTCTTTGCCATTGAAAGTTTTTTTGTACTGTCCAAACCCAAATCTCCCCCTCAGAGCGGTAGTTAATGCCTTTCCAAACTACAGCTCTGTGCATATATTGAATATCTACAGGATTTCCAGTCACTTGTCTTTTTTTTTTTTTTTCTTTTTTTTAGTAGAAACAAGTGAAATTGTGCAACTCTTTCCTCATCATTCATCTTAGACCTCTGACTGAGCTGCTGCTACAAGAGAGTCTAGGTTTGCCTCTAGAATTATCTCCAATTGCCCACTGCATCTGAAGGAAGATATATCATCACTTTTTCCATAAAATTTGTTCCACCTGCAAATTTGTCATGTGGATGCTTCCGAGGTGACACCATGCTTTTTCAAGGTAAACCAGCATCATCCGCTTTTATGACCAACAGAGCCTGGCCCCAGTTTGCTGTGGAGTTGACACTGTGAATCCTTCATCTGATCAGGCACATTTTCAGGAGCCTGAGGCAAGAACCTGGTGCAGAGAATTTCAGCACAACTGTCCTAAAGTTTGATGAAGTTATAAGCAATTGAAAACACGGTTATTTCCTTTTAAATGCAGGTTTGCCGTGCCCATTCTGGCTACAGCAAATACAATTCTGTCACACAAGAGGCTGTGTTTGGATTGTACAAAAGCAGTACCTACATTTGTCTGAATGGCTCTATTCACCTTGCTTTACAGCGGAAGGACTTGGTGGCTCTTAGGTAAGCACAGGTGTGCCTGGGATGGAGGATTAAACAAACCTGCTGGTCAAGCTATTTACTGGAGGCTTTTTGAGAGGTGCCTGGTGTATGGGTGAAGAGGGCTTTCCCCAAAGGCTGCAGCCTTAGACCTGAAACGTTAAGCCACAACCACACTCTCTACAGCTATTTCTAATTTTACATTCCTTGTATCACAGCAGGAGAGAAGAGATTATGCAGATGCTGCCGCCTTCTGTTATTCCTCTTTAAGCTTCTTCACGCCACAGACTCCAAGAAGAGTCAGCACTGAATGTAACAGCTGCTTTTCAGAGCAGGTCTGAACAAAATCTGTTTAGGCTCGAGGCTGGTAGATATGGGGGATGAAAGTTTAAGGTCCTTCTTGGATTTAGAAATATTTTTTTCTCTAAATTAATATGCACCCATTAGCAAAGGTGAGTTATTTCTGAATTTAGTTAACAAGTCCTTCAAACAGAAAGAATCTGGTTTTGTACACTGTTGTGCTGCCAATAATGTGTAACTTGGGAGGAGCTGTAGCTATTCACACCACCATCATGCTATATAGGTCCATACTTCTCCAAATTCTCATGCTAGTAAAGTATATATACTCTCCAGCCCTATTTTCTTAGGCACCCAGAAGAAGGAAACAAGCAGCAAATCACTCAAAATTTTTTCGTCTCGTTCCAAATCCCGTCATTTTGATATCTCATAGACTGAAGTTCAGAGGGCAAAAGCATTTTGTGATTTGCACAGTGGAGAACACTACCAGTGCTGGAGAAATCTAGGGGATAGTTACTAATTTCTGCTTTAAGCTTGGGAAAATAAGCATCAGTGTTTGTGAGGAATGCCCATGCTTTTTAAAAAACTTGTGGCCATCATAATTTTTTTTTCATTGATTGCATTTCATGAATTGATTTTATTGTTAGATTCTAAAACCAGATGGTATTTTTGTGTTTTTATCCCTTTAGTACTTAACGTTGTTTTGATTCATGCTTGTAAGCACTGATTATCAGACAGTGCTTACCAGTTAGACAGTCATTGCAGTTTTGTTGAATATTTGCTAATACATTAGATTTATTGTTCCCCTTAATAGTGTTTTTCTGCTCCTGTGGGTGCAGTTGCAGATTAAAGACCTCTGTGTGAATTCAATTAAATTCCAAAATATTGTATCCATGTTAAATGAGAAGATTAATGGCTCTCAAGGAGCGTGCAAGGGCTCTCAGCCTGCTCAGCAGGGCTGGCTCTCCTCTCGTGTCTGTGGCAGAGTCATAAGTCATCACAAGTAATTATTTTTGATTCAGTGGGTCAACAATTTGAAGGCCAGGTGGAGGTCTGGTCAAGTGGTTTAGCACCTATGATTTACCTGGTGTAATGGGGGGTCCCAGGGGTATGGAGGACGGGGTGTCTTCACCATGGCAAGTGCTCACAGTCTCTGTGCTGCAGCGGGGACAGTGTGTGGTGGATTCAAGCTCACTGGCAGGCAGCTGCTGTGACTGCCAGGAGCAATGGAGCAAGGAAATCCTGTGTGTGAGAATGGCCCTGCCAGAGAGACCCCTCAAGTCTTCCCTGCGTCAGTTCCATCTGCGGCACACCAGTTCCGCCTCATTTCAGACTGGCCTGCAGGACCAGGAGGGGAGAGCTGTATTGGTGAATGGAGGAGGAAATTTCCAGTGCTTACAGAACCCTCCTCCTCAGGGTCCTGAGGGTGCTTACAGGGACCTGTGATCTCGAGGCTGGTGTGACTGAGCAGGATGGAAAGGAAGCAACCTTCAGAAGATCCCCAATGCCACAGATGCAAGAAAGGTAACTTACCTTGTAAAAAAACACAATTTGCTCAGTAAAGTAGCATAAGAAGGAGTTTCAAATGATGTGGAAGGTGAGCATTTGGCAGACTATCTCTGCATGCGCCTTCCATACAATCCAACAGCAGCACAAGGCTTTGCCGATCAGTAGTTAATCTCCAGAATTAACTGGGCTTGTTCCAGAGTCAGATTCAAAATAAGCACCAAGTCCTGCATTGTGGCCTACATGTAGAAGGAGAAAGGTCTCAAAAACCATGACTGGCATTAGGGCATGATTTAAACAGCAAAGTGGTGAACAAGATGCCAAAGAGATTGCCCACCCTCCTACCCTTTCCCAAAGCTAATGTTATCAGTGACCTTAACCCCAAAATCAATCAGTAAAATGAGAATAACAGGGAGTAACTACCCAAGATGTCCAGGAGACCACTCACGTAATACTGAGCATCCTGATGAGGAATGTATATGTTACTCCTGTCTGCACCACAGCAGGTCAAATAGACTGTTAGTCCCAGCACTGCTGCCTGCCCAGCACCCCCCACCTGAAAGCAGCAGGCAAAGACATCTACAACAAAAACAGGTTTATTTCCCTTCTCTGCTACAGCAATGACCATGCCCCTGTGCTCATGCAGATGTCTGTCTCTTTGGCACTGCTTCATGCTTTCATGCCCACAACCATATCATGGACTCTTTGGCTGAGGGCTCCTCCATGGACCCCCTTCTCGCCCATGAGGAAGGTCAGGTGTGATAGTTTAGGCCCTGTCGGGACCAGAAACCACGTTGCCGTTGTCCCTCCCCCACCCTCGGACCAAGTAGGGCACAAACCCCGGGGTTAAAATAAGGAGAAATTTAATACAAGTGTAATAAACAATCTGAACAACATCAATAGCAACAATAACAACAATAAACAGTAATAACAGTAAACAAGACAAAAGAAATACAGAGAAATACCGCAGTGAACACAGCCAGCCCACCGCGCATGCTTCCCGTGACCAAAGACACAAAGGAAAGCTTCCCGCGCTGGACCTGACATCAGCATGGTATGAATAACCCGGCTGGAGATCCCTTCACCCTGCTTGGGAGAAACTTAACCCTATCCTAGCTGAACCAGGACATCAGGGTTTTGGGGTTCTGCTGATACAGATGGATGTGCTATCACTGCCTTTGCTTCTGATATCCATCACATTGTCATCGTCCACCAGCAGGTTGTCACGAATCACACTGCACTTTTTGCCAGCTATGGTGATTCCTGTTAGGAGGAACATTTTCTGATCCTGGCCTCTGATCAAGCCCACTTCTTGAGGCGAGATGGCTGCGAGGAGCCCTCCTGGCTTGGCCGCCCACACGCGCCTGTCAGAGAGACCCATGACAGCCACATCTTCAGTGTTTCTGTCTGCCAGGTTGGTGTCCACCAGTACTTACATCGTGGCTGGGCTGTCCAAATCTCTCAGAAATGCCCAACACTGAGCTTCCCTGTCTTCCACTTGCCAGGAGCCTTGGCACACTGATCGTAAAAATTTAAACTTCTGAGTTTGGCCTTCACATCACTGCAAGCCTGAGTGGGGGAGCTGGGGGAAATCAACAGCCAAGGCTTTTGCTTTCCCTGTGAGGAGAGACCCGTGACGACCGCAGCGGTTGCCACTCCAGCCTGTTCTGTAATGTTGTATTTGCCTCGCAGCCAGGCGTCCCGCAACGTGACTTCACTGCCACCCTGCCGACAAGAGGGAAGCTCTCAGAGGGGGTCCCATTAGTTTGGTACGGGGCAGCTGGTGTGGGCAGACGCCCTGAGGCAGCCGCACAGCACAGGGACCCCACGCCAACCTCAGGCACCATTTGCTGCCCCGCACCAGCTCTTCACCTCCAGCCACCTGTTTCCCCCTTCTTATCCGAGACAAACCAAACGGCTGAATTTCACACGCTCAAGCGTTTCTGCAACATTGCTTTGAATAAAAGCCCAGATATTAGAAGAAACGCATTATTTCCTGCCTGTATTTTGTCACGCTGGACACTGACAGCGTGCGTTCAACCTCTTATTTTCCGCGCTGTGACTGCACGCGTTCTTCCCACCGGAGGCCGTGACCCCGCGGAGAACCCGGCCCAGGGCTGCGGGGGAAACCCCCGCGGGCCGCCGCCCGCAGCGAGGCCCGTTAGGCCTCAGGCGCGGCGGGGCCGGGGGGC